TCCCAGGACAATTATAGGGGAACTAAGTTCTCCAATGCCCACCCCCCTCCCAAGACAATTATAGGGGAACTGAGTCCTCCAATGCCCCCCCCCCCTCTCCCCTCCCAAGACAATTATAAGGGAACTCCAATGCCCCCTCCCCCTCCTCTTCCAAGAGGGAACTGAGTCCACCATGCATTTTCCCCCTCCCCCCCCCCCCCTACATAACATCATTTTTTTTTTTTGGTGTGTGGCGCTGCCTCTGAGCCGATGTAAATTACCTTCTCCATAGTGTACTCCAGGTCCGATGCGCACTGCTGGCCGGCCAGAACCAGGTCCCGGCTGCTGTCGAACATGTTGAGGTCGTGCAGGTACAGACCAGCCTTCAGCATGTCGTCCAAGTTCCCTAGGCTGGGGATAGACGGCAGATGGACGTCATCGCTCCGACAGTCATCATTCAAGAACTGTATATATTTATCATATGCAGAGAAATACAAAATCGCCGCTGGACAGATGTCAGATCCAATAGGCAAATAAGAAACCGACCAAGATAATGTAACCAATTTTATAAGAAAGCCCCGCTGATACTATATCGGCAATGCACTCAGGATAAATAAGACAGAGTCCCTCACCAAGCCCTCATATGGACACCGGAAGAGGGAAAACGCAGAAGACCAAGAGAGACCGTGCGTAGAACCATCATCAGAGAAGGCTCACTCATGGGCCTAATGAACATTCAAGACCTAAAACAAGTGGCAACAAACGGCCAGACATGGAGAGCTATGACCTCTACCCTATGCGCCGTCCTAGGCACAAGAGGAAAGACTAAATAACTAACCACATGCATAAAATAAAGACTGTACAGTCCCCACAGTGTGCCTGTCAGACAGGACTACAAACACATGAGCGCATTGTGTAGACCTGCCAACTCTACCTGCAACTTCGAAAAGACACTTGGCCTCAAGAGCAAAGTGTGTAGAGCAAGCTATGGGGAACCGGCTACTGACATGGGAGTTCATAGAAGCAACCTACCTGATTGTCTAACCTGAGCATACGAAACCGAACGGAAAGATGAAGAAGCAGAAGTATTCATTCATCAATGCACATTATGGGAACTGAAAGAGCCGTCTGCTTGGCACAGAACTAGGAGCTCTGCACAAACAGATGAGGGAGGACGGGGAAAACCATGATCAAGGCAGTCATTAGAACCTACGGAAATTGCAGTGCAAACCAACTGTAAGGCTCAATTGGGGGGGGGGGGGGGGGGCATAAATAAATAAAAAGGGGAGGACATAGTGTGAGGTTGTCTCCATGACAAAATTGTCAAAGGCTCTGTAGCACCGGCGAGGATACTGAAATACTTTGAGTAGATTTTTAACTCCAAATTTTGCCCGTGCAGCGCCGTTAGGCTACTCTTTTCGATTCCCAACTGCAAAGGGATTTTTTCACGTGCGTAACAATGCACACAGGCGTAAGATCTTACTACCCAGAGACAGTGGAAATTACTAGGTCCACGTGAAAAAATCTCAGCCTTCACCGGGGCTTGAACCTGAAACCTCTAGCACTCGAGGCACGCAGTTCCCCTGCCCACATTAGAAGTAGAGAATCAACAATCTATGGTAATCAAATGAGGATAAGAAAACTGGACTAAACCGTGACAGCGGCAAACCTGGAGGGAAGAAGTTGCAGAGGCAGACCGAGAGAGACGTGGAAGATCGTGGAAGGTTATGGATAAAAATGACTAACAGCGCCCCATTGCATGAACTATGGAAAGTCATTTGTGTCAGAACTGAGTGAAATTACGCGAGACACAAGGTTGAGGATAGAAATGTCTACCAACACCACATGGCATGAACTATGGAAGGTCATCTGTGTTAGAACTGACTGAAAGTACGGTAGACACAACGTTGAGGATAGAAATGTCTACCAACACCACATGGCATGAACTATGGAAGGTCGTCTGTGTTAGAACTGACTGAAAGTACGGTAGACAACCTTGAGGATAGAAATGTCTACCAACACCACATGGCATGAACTATGGAAGGTCATCTCTGTCAGACCTGACTGAAAGTACGGTAGACACAACGTTGAGGACAGAAATACTACCAACACCACATGGCATGAACTATGGAAGGTCATCTGTGTTAGAACTGACTGAAAGTACGGTAGACACAACGTTGAGGACAGAAATGTCTACCAACACCACATGGCATGAACTATGGAAGGTCATCTGTGTTAGAACTGACTGAAAGTACGGTAGACACAACGTTGAGGATACAAATGTCTACCAACGCCACATGGCATGAACTATGGAAGGTAGACACAACGTTGAGGATAGAAATGTCTACATAGCATGGACAGTAGGAAGAAGAAGAATTATACTGCGGATCTAATATCTGTGTAGGTTATTCTATTGTTTCGCACAGGATAGAGCAGAATGGAGGACTATAGTGGTAGCCCTGGGTGGCATATAATGGCACAGCAGGATGATGATGATGATGACTACAATGATGATGATGAA